CTTCTAAAAAAAAAAAAAAAAAAAAACATTTAGATGTATAAACTTGCAATCGTATACACATCAAATAAAACCTGTTTGGAATTACAACAAAATCGTCATAACGAATATTTTTAATGATGATCCCTCCTTTGCACGGTACGCCCTAACTCATTCCATATGGTATTCTATGTGGCTACAAGTCTGTGCCAGAAAAAAAGGTTCTTTTACCATTCGGTTTGCTCTGAGGTCATTATCAAGGAGTCTTCTCCGGAGAGTACACCTTTTTTTCTGCCGACCTGAGGGCGTTTAGAAAGTTTTTTTTTTTTAATTTAACTCTCGTCTGATTTCTTGCATCGAAATAAATGTACTCTCTGGTCCCAGGGTGCGCCAGTAGTTTGTTACCAAATATTTGTATGGCTCATACTTTAATTCTGTATTCTATTTTAGTAGTCCCAAATATCAGAGGGTAATATGAGTGGTACATGGCATGATTCATGGTTTGGTAAATGTAGATTCACTCAAATTTCAATTAACACATTGACAAAACGAGGCAAACGCTGGTTTTCATTTTTGGCCGTGCAACGCGTTTCTCAAACCCCTGATATTTGGCATCAGAGTTAAAATCCAACGGGTTTAAAATTTGCCAGCGTGTCCTGTAGGAGTAATAGATAAGGTGCGTTAAATATATCTCCTTTGATATATAAGATGACTGCGCTAAAATCATAAAAAGGGTGAAAATGGTAAAACCCAAAGGTGTACCCACCATCTATAGCTTAGGCAATTCAGTCTGAGATTTATATAACGCCAGGCTACATTTATTTGCACGTGTCGTGTACCTCCCTTCTATACTCCGTTTAAAAATACAGTATCTAATACAGCAATGGAAACGAGAGAAGACGCGCACTGTATTTAGTTTAATATTTCGCTACTCGACCCCTTTTAACCAATATCAACAATGTCTCACCATTCTTGATAATATATTCCTGCCAATGTGCATATTATTCAACTTTTGAACTTGTGCCTTCCATGCGTGAAATTTGATAGTGCATCCGTCGGGTTTTAAATACAGACAAAATGCAATTACGTATCTTAGAGGCAAGACATTCCAGGTTTCACCTGTTTCTGATGGAAGCATTGGTCAGGTGTGTACCGAGCATGACTGAAGGCGGAATCAAGGCTATTACCTTTAAATTTCGTCCAGAATCCTTGCGTTAATTTAAACAGCAGCAGCACTGAACCACCCACTATTTCTATGGCATTTAAGAAGCACTTGACATAAAGATAATGGAAAGTGGGTCTCCATGCCAAACATTAGGTTTTTATCTACATCACAGATATTTAATACCAGAAAAAAAATACCATTGTTTAAGGGTATTTCCTTTATCGACGGCAAATATATCTGAACATGCAGTCTGAAATATACATTACGTCAGGCTGCATTTATTTTCATGCGCCGTGTACTTCCCTTATATACCGTTTTATGTGTAAAATACTATATCTTAACAGCAGTAGACATGGATTGACTTGAGAAGCCCCTGTTGCCTGTTGCCTGTTCCCTTAAGGTTTGGTCTTATTGGATCTTGAAATCCTGACATCGCCTGCAAAGGTTAGGTGCTTGATTTAAATCGCAGTGAATCTGATACCCTTGATTATTTTTAAGACCGTGCATGAAAACAAGGTAATACAACGTCTTAAACTCAACTTAATTAGAGCAAACGTATTTTTTTTCTTTCAGCGCCTGGAAAAGCGGTTAAGTGTTATCATTGTATTGATATAAAAGACAGGGCGTGCTGGGACAGTTTTGTTCCAAACAATAACTCCCACTTTGATGTTATCGACTGCCTCGAAGGATGCCAAAAGTGGAGAGCTGATATCCACGGTAAAGACGTTTTCAAATTAGAGTTCGATGGAAATCGATGTTTTACAGAAAGCATTATGTGCGAAACTGTATGATTATAACACGGCCGATGAAGGGAATACTATTGCATGTTATGCCCAACCTTTGCTAATTAATGCGTCTTTGTTTCTTAATTTCTGTTGAAGTACATGCATCTGTATTTGAACTAGATTTTTTATCTCAACAATTGCAGTAACTTTGATTTCAAGAGTTCAGTCTGGTGCAGTGTAGTGATCCTTTACCGAAGCAATATATGCTGCCAAAATGCAATTTGTCAAAATAAAAGAACAGATCTGTGTTTCATATTTCAGTTGACCAGCAGAGAGTCGAACGGAAGTGTGCAAACCAACACGAAGCGGGGGATTATTGCCAGTCAGAAGTGAGACACGGTTTGCAGGGCGATTTCTGCTACTGTTCAACAGACTTTTGTAATAATGCACGTGTAGACTCACAAACTCATCATTCCATTCTGATATGTGTGTTATTCGGTGCTTTTTTCAAAGAAAATATGCTTAGAATGTAATGGAATTGAAGGTATTGGATTATAAACAGACAGATGAATATACCGGTACCACTGTGTCCTTGACACACAAATCTATAATATTTGGTATATGATTCAGTTCGCCACTAATTGCTAAATTGTTGGAAGAAAGAAGCTTATGGCGCTCCAAGTATTGTATTGCAGTTGGAGACTCACTTTCGCCTTCGGTCTTCGCAGCCGCAATATGAACATTTGGTATGTGAGTGTTACCACTTTTCTATTGCGTTTCACTGGGTTCAGTGTCCTGTAGATGAAGGCCTGCATTCGGTCTCTTTGTGCCTCGTTAACATCAGCGCGTATATCAATACTTTCATTAGGCTGACTCTCTCACATTTTCTTTTAACTCCGAAAGAAATCTTTAAGAACATGTTATAACGCTACCAGAAAGAACAGCAACGAACACATACTGCATTTTCAATGGAACATGGCAGAGAATTCTTATTAAAGTGTGGTATAGTTGTTTAACACGCGTCGTATAAATGGTCGGCTACGGGTGTATTATTTTTCTCATCTCTTGTCTGTTATTTCTCTAAATTAGATCATACATGTCTTAATGTGATAACACGCAAATGAAGTCCGCTTTTTTCTCTTTTTCTTTGAGAAACAGGTGAAAGCGAGATTAAAACCGTAGAAATTTTATGTTGTATAATATTGGCAATTAAACGGCGGATATTTTAGAAGAGGTGTTACGTGACTTGGCCTGTTTAGTTATCTGTCAAAATAACAGTTGTAATTGAAGCCATTTTTTCTCTGTCTCGTGCTACCCACGATCAACAAACAGAACACATCGTCTTCGTTTGACATGATGCGTGTAGCGTTGACAGCGGAACCCACTCCAATCATATCATCTACACACCTATGCCATGTATTTCAGTCTAAACACAGGTTCTTCTGATTTCAGCTCATATTTCTTTAATTCATAGTAGGCTTATCTTTTATTGAGACTCATATGACTTAACTGGTATAAAACTGGTATATTATAATGATTTTATTTTTGAAATTAATTTATCTACTGATATATGTATATGGCTATTTAATTCATCTGTTTTGTAATTTCATTCTGTTTTGTTTTGTAATTGTGTGTGCTTTTTTACTTACCTGAAGCATAATCAAATAGAGCCCTTTTTTTTTTTTTTTTTTTTTTTTTTTTTTTTTTTTTTTGGGGGGGGGGGTCCCAAAATGAATAGAAAACCTTGTTACCTATGGGTCACCACGTGAATTACAGGTACATGAAATACCAATTAGTTAGTAGTGATGTAATGGCTACATCGATAAAATATATCAAAATAAGAAATCTGTGTACAATATGATACAATGGTCATCTCCATACTTACCAAATAATTAGATTCTTAGTTAGGCAAGACTTATGATAAAATGCTATACGCATGACCATCGTTTGTGCGCGATGAGCAGAACATGTGAAAGCCTGTGCGTTTCGCATGTCGATAATCATAATTGTGATAATACATTGAGAAACTCTCATTTCAACCTTCGACACTGAGAAAAACCGACTCCAATAAGTGTACATGCATTATTCCCCTTGACACTTGGCCGGAGTAAACAACAAAAACTATCACTATGTTGTCTATACCAGAGTCAGAAATATTGCCAAAGGTTCTGCTTACCGTTAGAAACCGATAGTGCAGTGGCGGATTTAGAGGGGGGGGTCATGGGGGTCCTGACACCCCCCTTCGAGCTCTGGTCCCCTCTTGAAATTAGAATTTTGACTAGATGAATCAAAGTTCCAAACCGTCCCAAATGGCTTCGTTCGCCCTCTAAAATACCAAAAATTTTCGAACCCCACGCCTTGGACGTAAAAAGGAAAGGCCTTCTCTTATTATGTCCAAGCCCACGCCAAGAGGGGGGGGGGAGGAGGAGGGTCGAGGCTTCACATCTGCGGATCCCCCTCCCCCCGCCTTCAAATAATCCTGGATCCGCCCCTGTAGTGTGTATATTCATATAAACGGGTCCCTTACATGTATTAGTGATTATGGATAACTGTATTGTTTCCCAACATCCAGCCATTCAAGGTTTACACGCGGATTTACAGGTTTACAGAAGCCGCAGTCCAAGTGCCGAGTACTTGGATTTAGGGCAACAGCCGTTTTAGAACAAGTTTGAACAAATCTTCACAACAACCGGTGTAAGTCTGCCCTGAGTCTGTACATGATCATACCTCAGTGCGTGCAGTTTATCTATCTGGAAGTCGCTGTCCACCACCTGTCAACAGTTTATGTAAAATAAAAACTTTTTATAATTGTTTGTTCTCACTTACTGTGATTTTTTTCTAGTTGAGGGTATACCGGTGATTTATTTAAGTCTCTGTTGAAATATGTGTACACTGTTAATCTTAATGTAGGAAAGCTAGGGTTCACTGAAACAAATACATCACTACTGTTTCTTTTGCCAAGGGATCCAATTAAAAAAAGAAAAAAAAAAAGAAACAACTGGGCTTATTATTCCATTCCCTTGAATGCCCAAACAAATTCTATGACCGGACTCCACTTTCCAGGGATGTGCATGCACATTTTGGTCTAAGCAGATGTATAATATTTATAATTAAACCAAACGTTTGTAATAACAATAATCAGATTGCAAAGGTAAGTTGTAGTTAGTTTTGAAGCATTTTTGTAGTTCCATAGTAAACATATAAAATGTCAACGTGGATGATACTGCATTTGGCGTTTATACAAGAACGTTAAATGAAAGGCAAACATGTTTATTCGATAAGATATTTACGTACCAAAGACTTGACCATTTACTTTTTTTACTCTGTAACATTTCCACGTTATATCTGGTCGAGAAGTATTGAAAATAAAATCACGGAAACATATGCCATGAGAGAGGCGTGTGCAAACTAACATGCTCAAAATGTAGTTTAGCTTCTATCTAAAAGTATAGAAGATACGTAATCTTATTCAATACATACAAACAAGGGGGGTATGAGTGCTATGTACATCTTTTTCAAACAATACTGCATGTCACGAGAACTAGAGGTTTATGAAGGGAACATTTTAAATTGCGGTATATTTATGAAGTAAAAGATCGTTTGGGTTTATCGTTTAAATCTCAGTGACATAAAGCAATATGATGTTTTGTAAATCTTCATAAAATTTGACACGCGAGACTCAGACACTAATATGTTTATTCAACACAGGAAGCAAAGAAATAAGAAGCTAACCCATTTAAGGTAATTTTCCACGTGGCATAAAACCCAACACGGCGTACCTTAATTTAAGTTTAAATTTAAATCTTAGGCATCGACTAAAAAATTGAAGAAAAAATAGATGATTTGTTATTAAGCCTTTGTATTATCAAAAGCGTTGTAAAGACAAAGATGTTACATGTACTTGTGTGAGGACTTACGATTTATGTAGTAAAGCATGAACCTAGTTTGGCGTATCAGCCAAATATCGCAATCATTTCCCTTGGCACTGCATCGTCAGTTAGACTGTGTGTCCATAAGCACGGACCAGGGACAAAATGGTGACTTTTTTTCTTGTGCATCCACGGTAGCTTGAGAGACAACACCGCTGGCATGAGTGAGTATATCTCAGGCAAAGTCACCCCAAGAATAAGCGCAAAGGAAAGGCACACATGTACATGCAACGTTCCACAATGTGACCCCCCTTAAGAATTCTGTACAGTTTTAGTACTGTTCATACCAGAGATGTAGAGAGTGGGATGTGCTTGCACCCCCTCTGTATTACACAGCGTGCTCATTGATATTCACGAAGAACAAGTGGCATAAGATTGTCACAAGGTGAGACTGTCACTGCCCTAATATAGGGAACATCCCACTGACGCCTATTAAACTAACTATGGCGCACTGCAGATAAAAAACAAAAACGACAGAGAAAAATCCACTGGTTGCTGTGTTGCATCTGTCTGAGCTGCACTGACACATCTCGCCTAGCACACCATGGTGTCTCAGTTCTCGACAGTGTTCCTTTTGTACACCAGTTAAAGCACAACCTCTCATTACTAGCTGACGGCCTGAAATAAAGGAGTATATAACTTTTTTCTTTTTTTTTAACGGATCGTGTAATATGAATAATACCCAAGAAAATGTGTCTGGAAATACATCCGACTTACATAAAAGACACGCACTTTATCCATTGATAAGAAAGAAGTTTCTCCTATTACTTTTGAAAACCAGCTCCAGGGTATTTTGATATCTGACATACTAAATAAAATGCATCTTGTAGATTCCAAACGATTCAGTTTATTATACTGAATATAATGGATCCTTTGGATGCCTGGGAAGTAACCCTACATACCGTCTATCTCTGCCTTAAACTTTGAACATCCATTGTCGCAGTGTAAGATCTGAATGCTGCGTGCGTTCGTGCCGTTGGTGTCGCTTATGAATGGATCCCCACATCGGCTATTGATAATGATATTGGCTTGCTGTCCACACGCAAAGCATACCATAGAGCTTTTCACTAGAAAAGGTTAGAAATTCTGAGACAATGCACTTTGTNTATATATAACACAAGGTGCAGATAATCACTTAAGTCCTACCTTCTGAGATCTTAGGCTTGCTATGACGGGAAGCATGAAGCCTTTTTGAGCTCGAGTGAGCTTTAATTTCTAAAATATTAAAATGTGTACATTTCTACTTCTGCTTTATAAATGCTTTTTTGAGAAAAACAAAAAAACTGAGACAAAAGAGACCGTACATCTATGGATCACTAAAAAATATAGGTTCTTAGCGCTTTTCTATTGCAGTTTTAACAAATGTATTTAAGATAAATACCTACCAAAATACTTACCACTTCAACCCACATTTAAAGAATAGAAAAGAAAATAAGCACCAACAAGAGAACAGTTTAACAGTTTCCGAACTCAGTCTCACCATTTCCTATCAGTAACTGATTCTTTAACTCCGGGATAATAAAACATCTCAACATTTGGTGAACATTTTGCCTACCTCTTGTAGAGAACTGCAGAATGAGCAGGAACACAGTAGCTAAGCCAAAAGCCGGCGGTTTCATACTGCAAAACTTCACTTCTTTCAGTTTACGTGCTCCAACTGCAGACCGAAGATGCAGAGAGCCGGATACGCTTCTACCGCCACTGTATTAATATGGCGTGCTCTTTGATATTCACGAAAAACAAGCGGCATAAGATTAAAGTAGGCCCCATAGGTCATAATGTATGAGAGTAAAACTGGTGAAGCGTTTTTTTTTTTTTTCATTTGATGAGTAACTACATGTATACGCGTAAAAAGATAATCAATCCCTGTTTTTTTTTTTTTTTTTTTGTAGCTTTATTGCCTCCAACGGACAATAAGTCATAGAAACTAAACACAGAAAAAGTATATGAAATTTGTTATTAGTTTTATTGGTTCCCAACCTACATGTAACACTGAAAATATGTAGGCCCCTACATGTAAATTCACAGCACCTACGTATGATTCGTTTAATTTTTATGGCAAAAAGTGTTCTAACAACATGCTTTTTTACCGGTTACTACTACAAACAATTTTGTGTGTATCACAATGTAAGCAGATATGCGAATTTTAATCTTCATTTGGATGCACGTCTGGGTCTAAACTGTAGCCAGAAAATTATCTAGTGTAAGGCTGTATTCCCAGAGCTTTTAGATCGATCTATCCCCGCGGGGAGTCTCACTAGATTACTGTCAGATAATCCGGCTTAAATGTCCGTCCCGCCTACTACAAGCTGTAAGGGGGTAATTAACTTTCGTGTCCGCCCGGCTGACAGCTATTTAGCGTGAACCCCCAGGGAGTTAGGTGGATCTAAAGTAGATCGATCTAATCTCTGGAAATGGGGTCTTAGATGACAGCGGTCTTCTATAATACGTCTATTAGTCGAATTATATTGATAATATTGCTCGTGTGGGTGTTTAAAACAGCCTGTCTTCTTATTGATGTCGACAAGTGAACACTAGCATTAAGTTAATTACCTCCGCCAAGGAGGTTATGTTTTCACCCCTGTTTGTCTGTCTGTCTGTCTGTTTGTCATCAACATAACTCAAAAAGTTATGGATGAATTTCGATGGAATTTTCAGGGTAGGTCAGAAATGGGTTAACTTAGAAGTGATTAGTTTTTGGTGGTGATCTAGATCAATAATCAGTCAATAATCAATAATAAAAAATAAAAAACTAAATCATTATAGAATGAAAATTTAGGGGTGAAACGGCATTGGGGGGAGACTTTGCTGCCATGGCGGAGGTCTGCGCTCTCGGAGTGCTTCTCTAGTTTCAATAATGGTTAAACAGTTATAGTTATTTTACAAGTCAAAACTTTCAAATATCGTTGCTTCAAAAAAAAAAAAATAATAAAATAAATAAAATAAAATAAATAAATAAATAAATAATAAAAATAAAAATAATCAGACAAACAGGCAGTCATCTCTGGTGTGTGCTCATCCAATCGCTTCTAAAGACAAAAGCAGTTGACACTGACCTATTACTTAGAGTCATGTGTTATTTCATAAGGTATCATAATGAATCAGATTTCTTCAAGAGTAATGAGTATATAGGATCCATTCCTTTCGTGTACATCACGTAGGTCTCTTTGTATTACCAAAACTGCAAGTCAATTTGCGAATGAGCAAAACGGGTTAAAAGCCCGAGTTGTTGCCTTTATTGCCTGTAGGGTGTTTCGAGGGATTAGAAAATACCGCAAATAATATGACAGCAACTAAAGCTATAAAGATGGAGAGCAGGCACATTTTTCCATTCCAAGACATTGGAGGCTTTCTCAAGCGGCGGCCGGAGGGTTTTTGGCGGTCTATTGCTCTGTTGGCCGGGTCAAGGAGGAGTTCCAGGAACTCTAAGATTGGTAAGTCGAGCGCCGGATAGTGCCAAGGTTGCCGTGGTGGTTGACAATTAGCATCGCAGTAGCATTTTACTTCTCCAAGGCGTTGATTTGTCACCCCAACCAAGCCCAAATTAGAGACTAGCGCTTCTCTTAGTCTTGGGTATCCCTCCTCATTCTCCGCCAAGTCTTTCTTAGTGATGAGCCCGAAAATTCGTATTTCTGCAAAACACAAAACAAAACATGCGCATAAAAAGGATAGGAAAGTGATGAATGTGACAAATGACAACCAATAATATGCAAACATTACAATTTTCTCAGAAATGATATTATTACAAGTACTTAAAGTTTATATCTGAAAAAAGTATCACTCACGCCTGGGACCATTCATGACGACTGTTGTCACTGCTTTCATTAAACTCTCGGGCACATTGTCAGAATCAGCGTTCAGGACAAACACAATGCACGTGGCTTCCAGGTCTCGGGACTCGCGTGTCTCCGGATACTTGAGGCGCAAATCCTTGACACCGTTGCCCTCTCTGTAAACGAAGTCGAACAAAGCTTGGACGCGCTCGTTTTCAGGGAGACGTCCATATATGACGATGCTCAACACCTCTTGGAGCAGGTCTAATCTTTCGTTGTTTGGCAGCCCGGTCAGGTCAATCAAAGTGGGCAAGTCGTCGAATTTGGACTCCTCAAGGCCAAGGTTGAGAAAGTCACTAAGGTAGAGGGTAATGCCAGACTCAGCGTCCCCTCTGCTGTCTCCAAAGGATCCGGCTTCTGCGACCATACTGAATGATTTACTCATTGCTGCAGCGATGCTATTCACAAAGGAACTTTTCCCTGCTCCCGGGGGACCAATTAATATGATGCGTCGTTGCCTGAGATCTAACTGCTTTTCACATTTCTCTATTATGCGCTGGCGAATTATTTCACACTTCTCCTCTATTTCATTTTCTGTATTTTCTTCACTGTCAGCCTATAATGTGATAATTTCGAAAATAATTTTTCCCCGAAATAAAACATTCACTTCCAGTAACTAATTATGCCGTAAGTATACTTTTTCTAAGATGCGTGTTAATAATGATGTGTAAAAAGCCCACCTGTGCTGCTTGGGATGTCTCAAATTTGCTGCTCATGGTGGTATTTTTTTTACATTTGCTGCGTAACTTTTATCCCCTTTACCTGGAAAGAATTGCGACTGGTATATCATACACCATATCATAATTAAATGAATAACAACAACAAATAAAAAAAAACATTCCGTTTACAAAAAGAATCTCAAGCGCATCATGGCGCGACATCGGGTGAGAAAGCACTTTTGTTTCAAGGTAAAAGGTTACATTATTGGGGAAAAACGTAGAGAAATGACATCATAAATAGCCTGATAAATCAGATTTGATGAATCAGTTAAATGTCACTGAGGTCACTGGCGGATTCAGGATTCTGCTTGGGGGGGGGGGTGGGGGGGGGGCAGGGGGTACTCTAGTTAACAGCAGACCGGTAGACAATTTGCTATAATATAAAGGGTCCGGGGGTGGAAATTGCTTGGTTTTGTTTGCTTATACCGTTTGGGGAGGGAGAAGGCACCCTCAAAGCTTGGGGGATGGGGTGGCACGAGCCTGCTGTGCCTTTTCATGGATCCTCCATAGACGCTTATAGACAGACATTTAAGCCGGTTACGTTGATAGCAATTTAGTGAGACTCTCCAGGGAGATAGATCGATCCAAATATCTGTGGGAATGGTCACTACGAATTTAAAATGCCCCAAAGTCACATTTATTGCCTACTTATTTTACAAAACTAGTTATTTTTCAAAAGCCAGGCCTTAAAACCCCCTCAAGTAAAAGTACCTACTATCGATGTTACCTTCTGAAATGCACAGGAGGACACATCGGTGTCAATAATTGGCCAGCCATTCAGAACTAAGTCATTTAATTAGATATGGTATAAAAAATGGAATCCAAGTGCAGGGACTGGTCGAGCAATGACTTTTGAGTAGGAGAAATTGCTTTTTTTTTCGAGGATAATTCAGTTTGGCGGAAAATCCCGGATAGAATACATATAACTAAGCACAAGGAGAGCCGCTCAAGTGTCAGAACCACCACTTCATTTAATATTTAAGTTTTTGAAAGAAGCAAAGTGACAGTTATGGGTAAAGTAAAACAAAAAGTTATTTTTGAAATGAAATGTAAAATAACGTATTTAATTGTTTTATCCTTTAACCTTAATATTAGGCATTAAAGTACATGTATATTGAGTGTCTATTATTATTACTTTTAACTCGATCCATTTTTACTCCATTATTATTTTAATTTGATAAATTTATTCATCTTTTATTCATTAACACAATATTTTAACTCCCCAGAGGGCCATGTTTAAGAAAAGTGTATGCACTTAACATGTTTTACCTTCTTTAAATAAAGTTTATTATTATTATTATTTGGGTGTGTCTATAAAGCATACAGATTCTTTTCTGCATACAATTAATTCAATATATTATAACAATGCCTACAAGTTCAATAACATTCTCTTTTACAGAATGAATGTATCTTTGAACACTTGGCAGAGCGTTTCTAGCTGAAGTTCATTAAATTGTCTGTGCATGCTGATGAACCTGTCGCTGGACGCGAGAGGCCGCAAATGATCATTAGTCCTCGTTGTTTGGATTCGTTCGTCATAAAGGGTGTCCAGAGTGCGAGATTCACGATGGCCGATGTAAATTACAAAAAGGTGCCCTGAAACAAATGTACGGTTGTTTTTAAATGACTGAAACACAATTTGATTTTTAGTTAGTTCTTAAATATCTAATTTTGAAAAAAGTCTTTATCTGTATATTGTTATGGTTAAAAACGCCGTGTAACTGGGTGAAAATTGTACTTAAAATAAACATTTGCCATTTCATTACTAATGTAACTCAAATAACCTGATTATAAAAAAAACCCTGTGTCGAATCTTAATAGGATTCTATATAGTATAAAAAGAAAACTCGGTAAACCAGAAGTGATAGATATACCTCCTCTAGTTTTCACAGCCTCCACTATCCGTCTTCCTAGACTTCCTTGTAGTGGATCATTTGGGCTCTCTATTATAATACCACGTGTATTCCAGTCAATAAACACGAGGTAGACCATTGCTCTTGGAATGAGGTGGGCTTCTTCTACCATTACTTTGGTAGTTATGATGGTCTTGGATGTCAAAGAGGGCAACCTCTCTATAATTTGGGGAAGAAGTGTAGTTTTTACACGATCCTTGGTTTCGCGGGACTGGCATATGCAAGCAAGGTCGCAGGTGTCTATTGGGCGGTCTGGGACCTCATACTGAAAACAGAGGATTTATATCATACGGTCAAAATATTGAAATAATTGAAAGTACAATAAACCTGTGTTATGTCTCGCTATCAATATGGAAAACGGTACACCGCTGTGAATTGGCATAACTCATTCTGTTTTTTTTTTTACTTGTACAGCAATAAACTCTTGAAAGATAGCAATAAACAACAATAAACTCCTGAAAGAGACGCCTTAAGCGTCCGTCAATCATTCCAGCTTCAATAATAGTATAACATTTACATGTAAAGTCCGTGGAACGACAGCGAACGTTGGTCTCTCGGTCACTTGCGGTCGCCAGGTTTTCTTGGCATTGCAGGGTTGGATTTTTAGCAAGTATGCTAAGACCATTGCAATAAATATCACTATGACTAAAAATGCAATGAGCGAATAGCACCACCATAATTGCATATGCATATACTGCAGTTTGTCGTCACATTCCTGAAGCTTATTTCGGATGAGGTCGCAAGATTCTTTGGTTTCTTTGGTTTCTGTCGATGTTCCACTTCTGGAGATGTCCGGGATAAATGACGAAAAATGGTTTAAAAAATCTGCATATCCCGAGATTTGCCTGTAAAAATAAGTTGTGGACTTTGGTACGTTTTAATCGTAATCTTGCTGACGTCACCTTGTGTTTTAAGGGCACTGAAAACAAACCTCTTTACTATCAGTTATATGCCTCGGTCGATTCCAGCACTGCATGGATGTGTTGATACATGTAGTACACCGACAGTAGAGAGGCGAGTTACCACTGTCCTACCCTCTACCAAGGCCACATATTGACTTTTCACAGGATATTCACAGATATGTCTTTAGATAAATAGACGGTCATTTGACTATCTCTGGATTTTCCCATTTTCCCTATATAATCTGTCACCCTGGTAGAGGGTACCACTATTTATCTGTGAACGTCAGGAAGACTTACGTACACACAAGATAAAGAATTAAATCTGCAGTAGAGAGGCACATCAAATCGAATAAAGTTCAAAGTACAAGAGAAAGTAAAGGATTGCAGAGTTAATTTGTAATTCTATACTAAATAGAAAGACTATAGAAAAGCACTCAGAGAGCGCAGACCTCCGCCAAGGCAGAAAAGTCTCCATCTAATGCCGTTTCACCCCTAAATTTTCAATATATTTATTATTGATTATTGATTGATTATTGATCCGGATCACCACCAAAAACTAATCATCTGTTCCTTGGCCCACTTCTGACAGTTCCTGAAATTTCATCAAAATCGGCCCATAACTTTTTAAGTTATGTTGATGACAGACAGACAGACAAACAAACACACAGGGGTGAAAACATAACCTCCTTGGCGAAGGTCAAAATTTGGCAGCGGGTGTTTTACATGGAAGGCTTTCGAACCCTTATATCGTTCCTGAACATAATTAATACACTTACCAAATATCCATGGCATTAGTCCTATGTCCTACCACGGCGTTTGGCTGGAAATGAAAATAAATGGCCTTGCTCAGCTGGAACAGCCGATCACGCGATGTACTAACTAGTAGACCTAAGCTACCACTGAAAATTCAACGGGGTGCGAAACGAAACTAACCCATTATTAATGCCGACTGAACACCAAACTGCTGATTTACTCTATTAAAATGTGCATGGAAACTCAGAAGGCAGAGGATGACAAAACGCGGAAGTGGGCCGACATTTCATCTACACAGCAATGTACAAGAGCCAGCCCCAAAATGGTAAGAACCAGCCAGTCGTCAATGTAGTTCATGATGTTTCATTGATCACTTATTGTTGTAGTGACTACGTACCTTAGCTCTTTATCTTCTGTTCTTCAGTGTCCTTGTGCGCAAATCCCCTGGGTCGACCACGATTTTTATGCAGAATAATCGAAACCACGGTATTTCCACCTTAACTATGACGACATTCTAATCATATCTAATCGTTGCTAGTCAGGTTGAAGGTTGTCCTACTGTACATATTGATCATAGTCCAATTGTGTCATGGACGTATACTATATAACATATCGTATTTCAAGAAACCTCTGTGATTGTACTGACACTGGTGTCAAAATTCCATCTAATAATTGATTATCCAGTTAGCAAATTAATAAGATTACAATTATAAAAGCAAAATGAAAGTAAAATGATTCATGATTATTGCTTTACTCTACAAACATTACTGTACGTTGACTAATGTAAACTAGGCTCTAATATAAAAAAAATATTTTCAAATCAAGATTGTCATTCTTTTTGAAAAACACCATTTGAAAACACAAATAAATGAACATGATGAGTAATTTTATTAGAAAAGAAGCCGAAGAACTTATAGACGAGCACAACCATGCAGGATTAAAGGTTTTAACTTAAAAGTAAAAAGTAATAAAATAAAAATAATAAATATTCTGTTATTCAAAATTCAGTTTTGCTACAATCGATTATACATTAAACTGATGGATGATCGTCATATTTCTTAATGATAAGATGATTGGTGTGTGTTGACAATAAAACCACAAAGGCGACTTGTACAGTATATGTAGACTGCAAGCGACACTCCGGTCACGTATGCGGTGTGGGGTCATGTCGATACTCCCCCGCATCGTTACTCCCCCGCACCAATAACCCCCCTTAGTAATTTTTTGTAGGCTATTATGCGCATCGATACGACAATACGCCGATAGATCACCGCATCGATAGGCCTACATCCCCTGTAAAATTGCCGATGTGGACGCACCGTTACTCCCCCACACCGATACTCCCCCACATCATATTAATAATAAATGACTGATGATGAATAAATGAATGGATGAGACGTGATGTAGAAATGGGACCGAAGATATTATCATTTTAATGATTAAATTGTAAATAACTGTTCCAATAGCCAGTGGCGGATTTAAAAGGGGGAGGGGGTTCCTGACCCCCCTTCGATTTCTGAAACTGAAAAAAAAAAACACACTAATGGTCTCCACTTGAAATTATGATTTTGACTAGCTGAATCATAGTTCTACACTGTACCAAGTGGCACCATTCGCCCTCTTAAATACCATTTTTTTCGGGATCCTTAAGCGCCCCCGAACCCCACGCCAAAGGGGGGGTCGGCTTCGCATCCTCGGACCCCCCCCCCCTTCAAATCATCTTGGATCCGCCCCTGAATAACGTAAGTGACTAAATAAGGATGAACTTTAAAAAACCTGAAAATACAAACTGTTTCAAATACCGTTGTGAAAATAACGATTCATGTATATAAATCCGTTTTTGAGTTTAGAGTCAAATACCATAGGCCCTATGCACGTTTCCATTTCCATCCAAAGAGAAAAAGCTAACGAACATTAAGAATTAACAATTTATTTAAAAATGTCTTCAACAGAAACACGTCAGAAGGGATGGCCATTCAAAAACAAAGAAAGAAAGAAAGAAAGAAAGAAAAAAGAGAGAGCACGGAGGACGAAGTTTGCGAAGAAAACGCTGAGTCGATTGATATATTAAGTATAGTCAAGAAAAGGTAAGGTGAACTTACTATGACCACTTTCTTTTACCCACCTTCCCTCCCCATCTAACCCGCGATTTCAGGTATTTTCCTACTTTATTTAGTCATATTTCTACTTAATTGCGGTATGCAATTAAATAGCGCTTTGGCGCTTTTTTCTCCCCACCTTTTATGGTTAATAAAAATGACGCCACATTACACAATAGGAAGCAAGTATTTTTACTTATTTGGTTTAAAAAATATAAAGGAGTTATTCATCTCTGGTAAAGATTTGGAATAAGAACAATGGGTTAACACCCATTGTATTAACACAGAATAGGAAGTGACTCCAAAGTCCCAAAAGTTAAAAATAACCATAAAACAGAGCAAAAAATCCTCGCCTTTTTTTATTTTCCTCAAAAATCCGTAGCTGTTATAAAATAAGTTTAGCTCACCAGCACTCGCTTTTAGCTGGGCATATGCTAGATAGTGGCTTATCTTGGAAGAAACTGCCATCTATACCGTGAACACGGGGAATTCCCAGAGGCATTGAAAACTTCCGGGCACTTTCGCCAAAAAGTGAAACCAAAAGGGGAATGTCAACAGTTTTATGATATAAGCGTCGGTAAGTAATCATCAGTGATAGTGCAAATACAGAGACTGTAACTAACAAATACAGGCGAATTAGACTAAAACTTTCACAATATATCTTAAACTAATCACTCTAGTCACAGTCTTGTCTATGCAGTTCAAAACATTGGACTAAACTGCGCGAGACCCCGATGGCTTAACGATTTAGGGATTCAGATCTAGGGAAGAGTTCACTTTTGCAGTCAAATTTATCTCTGCTAATGTTTTATCTTTAACTTTATCTTTAATCAATTCTGTATTGTTAATTTCAGTACCGTGATGTAATCTCGTAGACTGTTTGGTACTTTTAAGTTGTGTTAAAATCATTTATCCGTACAGCTGATGGGACATTGTCTTTCTAGTACCGATATAATGTTACAGGTTCATTTTTGTGTTTCAGATATTTTATGACTTGTATTATGGCCTCGGTCAACAGAAGTCCAGAGGAGGATTCAGCAATGCAATTGGAAAGATCATTTTCCATTCAAGAGAAGTCGGATGATGATACAGAAAAAGATAGTGGGAATGAAAAAGGTCTAAATGTTGTGAGGGAAAATGAGCAAGCGACAGCTTCTGATGAGGAATGCTGTGAAGATATGGTGAATAAATCTTGCCATGGGCTTCTTATGTACTATCAGACTCACATTATTTGGTGGTGTTATAAGTTTAGTGCAATTCTCTTAGTATATATCAGTATTAGGGATAAGGCACAGTATTTTACTAGATTTACAGAGTAATATCTTACCATGAAGGCTTTCACGGCTTTATTTTTTAGATTTTTATTTGAAGAGAATGATCGATTAAAGGTCAGGTTCAGTTCTTTTTTTTTTAATTAATCTAATATATCAAGAGTAGGATACAGAAAGTTTCAAGAATATGGAACATCATAACATCATTAAAACAGGTTCTGTTTAATTGCAATTTTAATCAGTTTAATGAATGTAAGCCATTCTAGTGCTCTTTTCTAATTGAAGAATAATTTTTGTTTTACCAAGGATGAAAAACTTGACCTAGAACAAAAGGAGAAAGATAAAGAAGCTTCAAGGAAATTGTCAGAAAAAGAAAGTGATGGTGAAGATGAGTTGGGAGGGCAGTTGGACACAGAGGAAGCCCAAGTGCCTGCTGAACCATTGATGGCACCACTAGTACTCCAACACATGCAGGGCAATGAACAAGGTATCAGCACAGGAGATTCCGATAAACCCCCAGACACAATGACAAGAACAGTCACCATCACTAGCAACGGCGATCCAATGGATGTCCTAGAAATTGAGAAATTTATTGAAATTGAAGCTGCAAAACTATTAAGTAATGAATTCAGTCCTCTGCAGATACAAGTTAGTGTGAGCAATGTTTTTGATGTCCTTGTGAGACACCCTGATGAAGAAGAAGTGGTGGCAAGGCTAATGGTTAACTGTAATTACCCACAGATATGCATGGCTTTAGTAAGGAAATACATGGCAGGGTTTCCTGAAGTTGACTTTGCTGATGACATTCACAGGTGGAAACTCTTGAGCAGCACTTTCAAACTTATCGTAAAAGTGGCTGATACAAGTAGGGAGTTTGCTAAGGGAATAGGATATGGTTTCCTGCAATATGTGATCGATATTTCTAAAAGGGAAATATGCATTGACAAAGTTAATGAATATGAGGTAAATTGTATGATTATATGTAAATGGTACTTGTATAATTTACTGTAAGGCTATTTACTAGTAGTTAATTTACAAGCATTTTGGCATTGAGCATTTCATCTTAGGGTTCCATCTTTAGCATACTGTCTTGAGAGAGTGACAGCTTAATGGCCTCGCAATTATGTAAGAAAATCATCTAAATGGAGCTCCCTGCTCGACACCATCAGTGAATTAACAAATTTAAAGCTATTTTTCACTAACTCATGATTTGCTCAATGACATTGTGCACCAAATTTTTCTTTAAGAGCACATGCTCTAGGTAGAACCTCTTTAGTGTCCTTACTGTCCAAACAGTAAGTAATGAATTCTGTAAGCAGGAGAAGTCCCCTGTAGCATAATTACACGTTCCTACAAAACAGAAGATAAAACACTTATTGTGATGAGGCCTTAATTCCACAAAATCAGAATATTTGAATTGCTGTCATTTCCATAGCTTCTTTTTTACTGGTAGGTGTTAACATACATACGTACGTACGTACCTCTGTGTGTGTGTGTGTGTGTGTGTGTGTGTGTGTGTGTGTGTGTGTGTGTGTGTGTGTGTGTGTAACTTGTTTCATCAAAAGATCCTGTACATTTTCTAAATGAAGCCTT